CAAAAGGAATACTCCGCAAGTGTCAGCTAAAAAAATAAAGGCAAGTATATACTAATATACTGATAAAATAGAGGCAAATATCTATTAACTATTATTAAAACAGAAGTTGCTAACGTCACTATTGCCCACGTGTCGCTTTCTCAATAAAAATTTTCCGCCTAAATGCAATGGTGATGTCATTATTTTTATTTTTTTGGTAGAGCTATCATATTTAACATTTTTGAAATTTAAATATTGGAAGCTTCTACATTACAACTAAAACCTATCAATTTATCGTAGGAAATTGAAACAATTTTAAATAGCACACTAATAAATGACCTCCTACATTGAACTATGAATTAGACAACGTTGAACAGATACAATATCATAATTTTGATTAAAATAAAAATTTTAAAATTACAAAAATATACGTAATTTTGCATTTATATTCATGTATAATAGCGATTTATTTTAAAATGTACAAATTAAAAATAGGTTTTATATAAAATGTGCATCGTACGGGTTCTAACCTAGTATACTAATATACTGAACTAGTTTTGTGCCCCGTGCGATGCCCGGGTTGTTTATGGACTTTTAAGATAAAATTATTTTATAATTCAACTTGATTGAAAATAGAATTCTAAATTAACTTATTTTGCTACAAAGTTTATCTATATTTATCCAACATGGTACGATACTTGGCGAAAAAGTTAAAACCCTAAATTATGTTGTCTTGTGGCCTAATTATAAGTTTATTATTTGGTATTTTATCGAAAATAAAACTCTAAATAACAATCTTATTCTAAAATTCTATCCTAATTTGATTAAAAATGGAATTTTTAACTAACGTTTTTATCTTATAAAGTCTATCAAGGTGGCATGACACTTTGATGATTTTTATCTTATGAATTTTATTTAAATCTATCCAACATGGCGCAAAACTTGGCGAAAAGTTAGTACGCCAAGTGTCGTTGCCTCATGACCTGGGTAAAAGTTTATATATTAGTTACTAGTTTTGTGCCTGTGCGATGTCCGGGTTGTTTATTGAATTTTAAGATATATTTTTAATCTATATGTCAAATTTTAAAACATATCATTGATACAAAATTAGTTAGGAATCGATGTGTATTTGTGACGATTTAAACTTGTTGACATATAATGAATAATAATAATAATATTGGTGAAAAATATTTCTTAACCCGTAACCTGAAATAATGACCCTGTCTAAAATGACTCGTGGTCCGACCTGATTGACAGGTCCACACACAGTACTAAAATTATATTAGATTGTGAAGTATATATTATTTTAATTGATTAGAATGTATTATAAACAATAGATGTGGTACATTTTGAACTAATTCCTTTGCTCCAAAAAATATATATTTTATGATACAAAAAATAAATTTATATGATAATTTATGAGAGATATAATCTAATAACTTTTTGAATAAAATTATAATTCAATTTCTAAATATGAAATATTGATACGTTATCAAAAATAAAACTCTAAATTAACAATTTTATCTTAAACTTCTATCCAAATTTGATTAAAAATAAAATTCTAAACTAACTTTTTTATCCTACAAATTAAATTCTATATCTCTATCGTACGTGGCACGACACTTGGCGAAAAGTTGGAACGTCAATTGTCGTTGCGTCGTCGCATGGCTAAAAGTTTAGTTTTATATACTAGTACTAGTTTTGTGCCCGTGCGATGCTCGGGTTGTTTATTAAATTTAAAGATATATTTTAATCTATATGTCAAATTTTAAAACATATCATTGATACAAAATTAGTTAGGAATTGACGTATTTTTGTGACGATTTAAACTTGTAGACATGTAATGACTAATAATAATAATATTGGTGAAAAACATTTTTTTGACCCTGTCTGAAATGACTCGTAACCCGACCTGATTGACAGGTCTACACCCAGTAATAAAATTATATTATATTGTGAATTATTTTATTTTAATTGATTAGAATATATTATAAACCATGGATGTGGTACATTTTGAACTAATTCCTTCGCTCCAAAAAAATATTATGATACAAAATATAAATTATATGATAATTTATGAGAGTTATATTCTAATTATTTTTTGAATAAAATTATAATTCAAATTGTACATATGAAATATTGATACTTTATTAAAAATAAAACTATAAATTAACAATTTTATCCTAAAATTCTATCCAAATTTGATTGAAAATAAAATTCTAAACTACATTTTTTATCCTACAAATTGAATTCTATATAACTCTATCCTACGTGGCACGACACTTGGCGAAAAGTTGGAACGCCAAGTGTCGCTGTCTCGTCGCATGACTAAAAGTTTAGCTTTATATTAGTTACTAAGTTTTGTGCCCCGTGCGATGCCCGGGTTGTTTATGGACTTTTATAATAAAATTATATTATGATTCAATAATTTAATTGAAAATAGAATTCTAATTTAACTTTTTTTTCTACAAAGTCTATCTATATTTATCCAACGTGGTACGACAAATTGAAACGCTAAATGATGTTGTCGTGTGGCCTAATTATAAGTTTATTATTTGGTATTTTATCGAAAATAAAACTCTAAATTAACAATCTTATTCTAAACTAACTTTTTATCTTATAAAGTCTATCCAAATATATCCAAGGTGGTGCGACACTTGACGATTTTTATGTATGAAGTCTATTAAAATCTATCCAAGGTGGCGTGATACTTGGCGAAAAGTTGGAATGCCAAGTGTCGTTATTTCGTGACCTGACTAAAAGTTTAGCTTTATATATTAGTTACTAGTTTTGTGCCCGTGCGATGCTCGGGTTGTTTATTGAATTTAAACATAAATTTTTAATCTACATGTCAAATTTTAAAATATACCATTGATACAAAATTAGTTTATTGAATTTAAAGATAAATTAGCTTTTGATACAAAATTAGCACTTAACAATTATTCATGTTCTATGTAATGACTAATACTAATATTGGTGGAAATGTTCAATTTAATACATTAAAATAAATAAACAAATAATAAATAAAATAAAATAAATGTTCAAAGCTCGTTAGGTTGACCCGAACCCAAAACTTTGGGCAAGGGTTGAACATTTCTTGACTCGTAACCTAAAGTGATGACCCAATCTGGGATGACTCACGACTCAACCCTAATTGACAGGTCTATGTAGTAATAAAATTCTATTAGTTATGAAGTATATTATTTTAACTGATTAGTATATATTATAAATAGATGTTTTACACTTTAAACTAATTCCTTCACTCCAAAAAAAAAATATGACATAAAAAAATAAATTTGTATGATAATTTTTTAGAATTATAATCTAATAATATTTTTGAATAAAATTATAATTCAATTTGTATCTCTGATATATTGGTCTTTTTATCGAAAATAAAATTCTAAACTTAAAATTTTATCCTAAAATTCTTTTTTTTTAATATCTTATGAAGTCTATTTAAATAGCTCCAATGTGGCGCGACACTTGGCGAAAAGTTGAAATGCTAAGTGTCGCAACGTCGTGACCTGACTAAGGTATATATTAGTACTAAATGAAGCTCGTGCGATGCACGGTTTGTTTGATTTTTTTGTAAATAATGTTTTTTTTTTGTATTTATGAGCCTAAAATTTGTTATATATTTAGATAAAATTCCTAATATTAAAAGATAATATATAATATTTAATTAATTTAAACTTAAAAATCTCATTCGCCAATTTTTCTTACATGGCATTTGAATTATTTAATTCTAAAAAGAAATTAATAATCTCTTATTTAATTGGCTACTATTAAGATTTATAATCCTACATGGCGCGCTGAGAAAATTAGATCCTACGTTGCTCTCTAAAAACTCGGGAAAAAACTTCCCTTTATATATATATACCAGATGAAAGCCCGTGCGATGCACGGGTATTTCATATATAAATCATCTCAAGAAAAGATATTTTCGTATAGATTTTAAGTTTATTTAAATAATTATTTAATTTATTTTACTATTTAATAATTTCACACACAAAAAAAAACATAATAATTTAATTAAATTGTTATTGCCTATTACAAAAGTATATATTTTTTCTAATGTAATTTATAATGCGACTTTATTTATTTATTTTTGTTTTGTATTTTATTTGTGGTTGTTCATTATATGACAATTAGGTTTAAAAAATATGAATAAATTGAAATATGATATCTTTATGATATTTTATTGGTTACATGGATTAAATCTTTAATGTGAAAAGATAATTTTCTTATTTTCTAAATAATTTAAATCCTAAATCATTATTCGTTATTTATTAACGAAATAAAAATATTATAAACAAGTATACTATTTATCTTTTATTTTGATAGAATCACCAACTTTGTTCACACCCATATCTCTTCCATCTAATCAAAGCATTGTTAGCAAAAATAAATTTATATACAATTAATCTTTATAGTCTTATAAAATAAATCAATATATTTATTTTATTGGTAATCCATAAACCTCATGAATCGGCGTTTCATACTGCTTGTTGTCCGTGAGATCGAGGCTAAAGATACCTTTGATCCTACCCTGGCTGCCATAAAACCAATGCAAAGCATTGTCGGTAGCAACATCTTTTGCTTGTATGCACATATTCCTTTGCGGTTCCCTTACCAAAAAGGTGCAAGAATAGTCCCCAATCACGAAATTTTATTGGTGTTATAGGATGCGTCAATTTATAGTGATAGGCATCACAATTTTAATTTAATTATAATAAAGGAATAGTTTTTATTTCTTATCATAAACACTATCAAGATTAAATCTTGTATCTAATGATGATTTTTAAAAGATAATTTTTAATTTTTTAATTAAATTAAATCATGATAAATTACTATTCGTTATTTTTATTTACGTGGCAAAATTCTTAAATCTCATTCGTGGCAAGGGGATTTTTTAATTCTAAAATAAAATAGAAATCTAATTTTTAATTGATCGAAAATATACCTTTGCTTATGTGGCACGCCAAATGCTCTCGAAAAATGCCTACTTTATTTATATATATTAGATTAGATTAGATTAGTTAATAGTTATAAGATTCTTTGCCAAAACAAAATAAAAAATAAATAAATTACTACGTATACTGAATTACTGAGAACGTTCCTCTCTCCCGCTCTCTCTCATCGAAGCCCACTCGGCCACTCCACAATCTCCATTGAAGCAGCTTCCGGGGAGGTAATATGATGTTTCTTTTTGTAATCACCATGTATCATTAATATCAATTTCGCAATCTAGGGTTTATCGTCAATTTAATTCTCAAAATAGTTAATCGATTGTTGAACTATTAGTTATAATTACTAAGGTTATGAAAGATCATAACCAGCGATTCTCTTGCAAAAGAAGAAAATTACTTTATTTTTCCTAGCCTAATTTGATAATTGAAACAAGTATGCTTTTTGTTAGGATGGAACTATGGACGCTCAAAATTGGACTTTTCTTCTTTTAATTATATGATTTTTCGAGCCTAATATGATTATTGAAACATAATTGCCTCTAATGTTAGGATAGAACTATGAATTGGGACCTTTTATAACTTAAATTATGTGATTTTTTGGAGCCTATTTTGATTATTGAATCAAATTTGCCTGTATGTTAGGATGGAACTATGAATGTGACCTTTTCCTAAAATTACGTGATTTTTGGAGCCTAATTTGATAATTTTATCAAATCTGGTGGAGAACCTTTTAATGTTAGGATGGAGCTATGAAATTGGACCTTTTTCTTCTTGGGCCTAGGCGGCCGCCCCTCCTTCCTTGGCCAGGGAGATGTGCCTGGGCGTCAGTGCTCCATAATAATACCAAACTTGCTACTATTTAGTCTCCCCTAACAGTTTCCCACTTAAATTAATCCCCTTCAACAATCTCCCTCCTAATCATTACCCCCTTGATAGATATTATATTTATGATGATATTTGTTGCATATTAGGATAGATTTGGTGTATATTTTGTATACTTATCGTACTGGGTTTCCTAATGTAATTAGGATTATTATTGTAATCTTTATATATTTTGATCAATGGTATACACTCCAACTCGAGGAGTTTTTACCGAAATCTAACACCCCCTAACAGCTTTTCTAACTCCAGGGATTCAGGAGAGAGAATTCACATCAAAGTTCAAATATGCATTCTTTTGTAAATAGAGCTAATGTGCTGCTAACTCTAGCAGTCACCATTCTTGCAATTATGTGCGCCGCCGCTTCTATTTCCGACACTTTCAATTCTCCTTCTCCTACTGCCACCATTGAGGTTGAAATCTTCATCTTCGGGTTGTTTATAATTTTACTTTTTATAATCTTCACTGTTTGGTTGATCTGGGTGTTTTTTGGTTTCAATTTAGGTGGCCAACATTCATAAATTTCAGAAAGTCTCCAGTGGCAATGACGAGGTAATTTTTTCAATCTAATTTTCTGGGTCTTTTGGGGTTACTGCTACTGATCAATTGCAGTGCAATTGCCCTTACATGTTTGAGGACTCGAGGTATTGTAACGGAGTAAATTTACCCTCTAGTTATGTATTAGGAAGGATATGCTTGCATAATCAAAGATTGATTATGTTCTTATGATATTTGTAACAACCCTCTCGTACCTTGTTGATCCATGTTAAGGATCATTGATGGAATTTCGGGGTGGTCTTCAACGATCATCAAGGCTAGGTGTGGACTAAGTAAATTGAAAGTTGTGTTGGGTGTTTTTCTTGGTAACCTGAAGGCCGATGAGTATGAAATGACTCTCTTGGGGATATTGAGGTTTAGGATTTTCCAGCCAACATAAATGATTCAAGATATGTGTTCTTAGTTTTAAGGCAAAAGAATTGGAAAAGAGAAGTACTCCCTCCGCTCCTTTTTGTTTGACCCATTTAGAATCTACAATTCGAGGAAAAAAGTTTTTTTTTTTACTACAGAGAATCTTTGTTGAATATAAGAAAAAACATATTAATCTTTCTGTCATCTTGACTCATCTTATGTTAATGCATGCCACTTTAGAAACTATGTATACGCTAGCAATCAACTTGAAAACTTAGGAAAGGATGAATGTAATAATTTCCAGCTGAAGACATATAATAGTTTATAAGAACGTGATATATAAGACTCCACCATTTCATATTTATTTTTTTTTCTTAAATCCATTGGTATCTTAGTGTCATTATAAGCTTTTTAATTAGGATCTAGATTTATGTTCTTTATCTTTTTTATGCTCCTTTCAAATAGGAATTGTTCTTATATGTTTTATATTTTCCCAGATTGCCATGGTGCTGAATATTTCAGCCGATCTCCAGTCATTGTTTACTTGGAATACAAAGCAGGTTCGTCATGGTACTCCAGAAGATCCTAGTTTTGTTATTTCTCTTGTCATGCCTTTGTTGAACTTTTCAGTTGTTCATACCCATCTCCAATCTTTATCGTAAGAGATTAACAGTAAAAAACTGTGACATCTAATTGTATGATTTACTTATTCTATGTGATTCCTGCTTTTCTTTGGCATTAAGTTTATAATGAACTAGGTGTTTGGTTTTTGTTTATTGCGTATGATCCTGCTTGGATAATTATCCCAGCATAACCTCTTGTTTAGTGCTGCACAACTATAGTTATTGACTAAGCTCTTCTGTAATTTTTTTTTTGCAGGTGTTTGTTTTTGTTGCTGCTGAATATGAAACCAAAAAACATGTACTGAATCAGGTAATTGGGTGATTGGACACTGTTATCTCTTGTATGTGTGTTTGTGCTGGCGTGTGTGTTTGTATCATATATATCCCTTATCTGGGGCTCATTAAATGCAAAAATACTGAACTGTTGCCCTAAAAAAAAAAAAAAAATTGTTGTTGAATTCTTTTATAATAACTACAGCATATGCTATTTATATAATTTGAAACTGCTTATTTATCATATTTGTTAACTAATACTCTACCGGGAGTGGATGTATAACCTGCTTGCCTTAGGAGAGCTATTATAGGACAACTGTTTTGGTAACTGATGTGAACTTCTTCATAATGGGGTTGGAGGCTGGGTTATGGTGAATATATCTTCCAGTTTCTTTTATTGTGGATAGAGACTTCAAAGGCAACTTATTCCCCTTCCCATGTCCAAAGAATGAAGACAGAATGATTTCAGTATTCACTTGTGCTGTATGGAAGAAGAATTGAAATGGGATCAATCTCAAAAGAAAGGATCTTATTGTTCATATAGAAGAATTCTAAATTAAGTCAATTTACAAGATTTAAATAGAACAGATTTCTTGTAAATGTTTTTTCTGGGGAAATACCCAACCAAACTTTTAGATCATTACTTATATTCTATCTACCACTACCTACATTCCACAAAGCTGCTCTCTGCAAATATGACCTAATGAAGAGGACGGTTATCCAGTTTTCAAAAAAAAAAAAAAAAAAAAAAAAAAGGGAACAGGCCTGTTATTCATAGTGAGTCTTCTTCCACATAGTTCCGCCAGCAGTTCTTTCTATTCTGGTTTGGATGGTAGAGGCTTATATCTCGTAGTTTTAATAGGTTTCCTTATGAGGATTCTTTGATGTTTTAGAATTTGTCTAAGGTCTGAATTCAAGTACTAGATCAATTTATTCTGGTGTGATATGCTAATTTTCCTTACCATTGCCATTTGTTAGTAACTTTTTCCATATACGAGCCTAATCCTAGTAATATGTTCAAGGCTTTTTCTCAAGCTTATTCCCATTAATGTGGTTGTTGGACGTAGATGGTCTTTAAAGAGTTTAAAAGTTTTTGAGTTTGCTTATTGGTAGAAGCATAGCCAATAATCAGATGATAGAGTAACTGGGACTTTACCGGTGCTCCCATCAATTAAATGCTTTAATAAATTTACTATTTGAACAGCTGATGATGGTGCTAACTAGTAAGATACCTTGCTTTGTGGCATATAGAAATTGCTGTAACTGAATCCGATGATTAACCTATGAAATCACATATCCTACCTTACGCATGTTATTTTTAAAAATGTATACTGAGTCCTTGATGCCTTAATTTAATGTATAGAGTGTAGATATTTTGTTGAAAAAAAGGAATTTTAGCAATATACAAACCACAACGTCCAAATCATGAAATGGTTGAGAATGTTTTTGTTCTAACCCAACAACTTTTTGGCTATCTATCTGTCTTTTGCATAATGGCTATTGTGAAGGGTGCATATATAATAAGATATATTCCGATCTGGGGAGCCTGATGGTAATTTTTTCGACAATTACAACATTTAATTTAAAAACCAACAAAATAACTTAAATAAGATGGGGCTTCTGATGCGACATAGGCATTTCTATCTGATGTGCAAAACCCCTTATAACCCTCTGACTCTTTTATGCTAGTCAGATTTGATATAATGATGATGGGCGGAAAACAATTGTGATAGTTTTGAATAGGGATGTTTATTATAACCGATTCGATGATCTTGGTAAGCATATCATTTTGTTTGGGCAAGTTCAAGTTTCTTTTCAAGAATAGCAACACAAGCTTATCACATTGTTACAGGTGCAGTTGAAAGTGGTGTGTAGAATTAAAAGTCAATTGTGCTTAAGTAGAAATATTTTATCCTCTCAATTTGTTCCATCGTTGATTGTGAAACCCTGAATTCAGCATATAGTCCGTGTATATTTATTCTAAACTTGTTAATTTATACTTCCTCTGTACTTGTTTTATTGCTATATGGGAGAGGGGTACACATATTAGGAAAGATCATGTGAATTGGAGAGCAATGGAGAGATAAGAAGAGGGACTATGTGATGAAGAGAGACATTGGAAGAACACATTACTAAAAATAGATATTTAGTAATTGATGAAAACTTTCAAATTCAGGGAAAGGTAGCAATTAGTGTAGAAAAGAGGAAACCATTAAAAAAAGTGTTGATATGGAAATGAAGTTTATTATGTTGATGATTTAGCTCTCTTGATTGGTCTGCTTTCTTGAAAAGGGCTTCATCAGCAATGATTTGCTAGAACTTGAAAGACCCTTGTTCTTGAAAAGAGACAAAATATTTGGCCAGTACTGATGTTATGTACTGCAAACTTGCTAGGTCATGCTCTCAGGTTTATACCTTTTGCTATAGCTAATTTGTTCTACAAATTTCTTTTGTGCAGCTTTCACTCTGGGATACGATCATAGAATCAAAAGAAAAGGCAAAATTTTCAGTTAGTATCTCAAACAAGTATCGATTTACTGATCAGGTAAGAATTTACCCATCTGCTTTTGCCTATTTCCCTCCTTTTCTTGCTGCTGTTAGCAGTAGGCTGTAACATCTTGTTAGTTGGGTTTCCTTGCAACTTAATGCAGTTGCTGCCATTGTTATGTTAAAAGCATTATAGTAGCTTTGTGGCCATCGGGTTTCACTTGTAGCAACTAATCAATTGAAAATTTTTGTAACTATAAATGTCTACTCCAGGGGAGCAATTTGCGAGGCAAGGAGTTCAACTTGACATTGCACTGGCATGTCATGCCCAAGACTGGAAAGATGTTTGCTGACAAAATTGTGCTGTCAGGATACCGCTTGCCGGAGCAATACAAAAGATGATACACCTATAGATCTCTTGGAGTTAAGACTTAAGGTTGAAGTTTAAGGATGTTAACAACTTAACATCACATGTTTAGTCGAAACATTAGTTGAAAAGTGAAAAAGTAAAGCTTTGGCTACTTGCTGTCCCAAAAAAAAAAAAACCTTCAAAATTTCCATTTTTAAATATACTCATATTTTTTTGATTTTTTAAAGCAGACCTGTTTAGCTACTGGACTAAGACCTCATGAAAATCTAACACTCTGAGATTGGTCTGAGCACCGTTCAATGCTGCCAATGCATGCTTAGCAGCAGCTATTACTGTCACAATGAATGATATAAGAAATATAACTTTGGGTATGACCATGACTAAGAAGCATGGCTACAAATTTTAATTAGCTCCGTGGTCTTGGATTAAATACAGCTTTGGACGTTTTTGTAATGACCAATTTTGTGTTTTCCTATCAGAAGTATTAGGTTGTTGACGATTCTGCAGTCTGCTCCCATCTTCCATCGAGTATCAATAACTGTCACATATTAATGCAAGTTTTTTTCAGCGCATTTTGTCCTTACTCATACGCATTTGAGCAACCTTTTAGGAGGTCACTCACCCTAAAATTATTCCCAACTAAACACGTTTAACTGCGGAGTCTCTTAGCATATTAGCTTTTTAAAAAGGAAAGAAAGCAAAATTTAAAGCCTTTTATTGGATAGTGACAAAATTACAAGGCAAATATTATACAATTTCTGCTAAGATAGGCGTGACATAAATATAATATTCCCAGAATTATAGTGAAAAATCTGTCCTATCTAATCAATAGACCCTTCATACCTGTATAGACTGCGATTGACTTGGAAAGGTTAGCTGTAAGTCTACTTGATAAATGGGAGCATCAACACCAGAAGTATCCTGATCGGCCTCTGTGAAAACAGCAATGCCACGAGCAAAGGCAAAAGAGCCTGTACCACCAACCACCTTAAGCTCTTCTCTCTTCTTATGTTCCAATTGTTTAGCTTGAATACTCAAGCTCCCTGAATATTCAGGTGTGCTGAATGTCAGATATATTACATTGAAGGCTGAATGAGCGAAATGCTCCACAGGTATGATAAAACCTTGTGCTTTTCCTACAATTGGCGACGTGCTTTCAGGTCCCTCCGTGAGCATCCGATGGAAGGTCAACACCCCTGTAGAAGGCTCGACATCACGGTGCATGTTACGATTCAAAGTTGTTGGTTGCTGGATGTACAAAGACAACGCAACCAATGGCTTCTGTAAATCACTCTCATGGTCTTTGTAAGGAACTGGTGAAAGCAGCGCTAATAGCAGAACTGCCATTGTGGCCAGAGAAACAGCAGAGCAGAATATGATCTTAGCTAACATTATGCCATCAAATAAACTTCTTCAGGATTTAATTCTGCATACTTCTTAAGGGCCATCAATGATTGAATTTTCTTTCAAGTATACTTGCTCCTCAAGTACAAATTTGGCCACCTAATCCACAGTTAATATCACAAAGCATTTCTTTTGCATAATATTTTATCAGTAGTATGTTTGAGGGTACCTAATCCATTATTGGTCCTTCAGAATTCTCAACTTTTTTTGTCTTAAACAAGAACGATAAGGTAGATTTGTAGACAACACGCGGTACAAGTAACCAAGTTAAGCAAGCAGGTATGATCAAGCAAATACCCGTGATTTGTTTATATATAAGAAAAATCGTCTTAAAATCCCTATCTTGGCCAGTTTTCTGAAATAAATCCTTACTTTGAGATTATGAGTTATCCATCCCAAATAAGTTCAGCTATGAAGATGTCTTTTACAAAATGATCCCAACTATAGAACGGCTTTAAGGTGATGTATCTCTATTCAGTTGCCCATGTAAATATCAAGAGTAACAAGATTTTCGCACGCAATGAAAAGTAAACACTAAGATTGCCTGAAGTCCATTCTCCAAAACTTTGCTGCATGATGACCAAATGAAACCATCTATCAACCAAGCATTTCTCATAAGACCCACACAAGCGGGCTATAGATTGCCAGAGCATCGAGTAGCAAACTATAGCTTACATATATCGATTGCAAGAGCATTGAGTAGCAGACTAAGCAAACTTTAATTAGATCTTAGATTGCAAGAGCATCGAGTAACATTCTACTACATATATTTAACATGTACAGAAGCTTTACAGCCTAAATATTAAGCAATTCAATATCTCGAATGGATCTGGAAACATTTCCAGCATTACTAAAGTTTAAATAAGTACGATATTTACACGGCATACTTCCATCTAAAGAAGGATGCAGAGACTGCAGACAACAGAAAAGGAAAATAATTGATAATAGTCCGTTGAAAATAGCTAAGATCTTCCCCTGGCAATGGTTCATAAAAATATTACAGTGCTTTTTTAAAAAAAAAAAAAAAAAAAAAAAAATCAGAAACATAAGTAAGCCTGCCTGAATGGAGTATATAAGGATCAGATACAAGAATTCGAGTCATAGAAACTCATCACTTGCCTACGCCGACAGATGATCAGCCCTTACGCCAACCTCACTCATCACAATAGAGAACAAATGTTGAGCAAGGTATTGTGCTCAACCATCTAACAAACTTCTATCTTACACAAGTATCAGGAAAGAGTACCCAGTAACAGAAAATAAAGATCACTTAACCAAAGGTGAAAAACGCATCCGTATAAAGAGATAATTCACTGTGACCACACAGCAAAAATACGCACATTCACATACCAGAACTAGTCATTTGAAAGAACGGGAACATGATAACAAAGAGCTACTTCAATATGTAGGAGATACATAAACATCTGTTATTTAATAAAATAAAAAGGAACGGGAGAAGTATATTCTTATCGAACCCAACTTTATGAAAAGATAAAGTGATTTTTTTTTTTTTTTTTTGACATCATGGATAAATTGAATTTATTAACCTAGATAATAGATAGAATTCTAGTGTACAATGACAAGCGCGCGCACAAACACAAGATTACATTTAAAATCGAAGGCAAGGAAACAATGAAAAGAAAAGGAACAGAGAAAATACAATTTTTTTTTATTTTTCTTTCCTGATTTTACAAGTGTTCGTCAAAACAATAATGGACCATAAGCTAGTTAGATCTCAAACTCTCAAATCAACTAATCTAAGGCAATTGTATAGTTAAACAAATGAATAGCCTACATCACATACAAAAAAAATAATGCCTTGTGAAAAAACATTCAAATAAAATAAAATTTACAACATAAAATGTACAGTTCTCTCTCTAGGTTTCTCTCCTTTCTCTTTGACTTTCATGGATGCTAAACCAGTTATATTTGAAAGAATGAGGCTCGCTGCATCATCACATTCTGCAGCTCAGAGCTCTAGCAGTGGTATGGAGGCTAGGAACTGTACGGCAAGGTAGAATAGCATTTCCATTATCGGGCTCCAGTTAATCATGTTTGATGTAGCATATCAGCAGTCAATGTCTACAACCTGCTTTCTATCAAGCTCCAAAACGAGCTTAAAAAAGAAATGTTAAAGAATTGTAAGTGCAGTTCAAGTGACTAATGGTTTTGCCTTGCGTATGTGTCCCATACTATTAACAAGATCTTTGCGGGTGCATACAGGGAACATGTTAATATCATTCAGGACTTTCAGCCGCCAGAGAACATAAGGAAAGCTGAGCTGATCCCGGGATGTAAAGCGAACCACTTCATTGAACCAAAGGCACATGAACAGGTTGGTTAAGGGTGAGTGTTCTCTAACAATGATGGAAGCTTCAGCTAGAGCTGCACAAAGAATATATTTCATGAATTAGAAACCAATTTAAAACTCAACTTTATTAGCAGAATTGGCATATTGAAAGAGCCAAAGATTGGGAAATTCCACTAACTAAGCACAAATTAACAAATTATCTGACTTGGATAATTTTATCAGAGGCCTCAGATATCAATAATTCATAGCACCAAGCAAAACACTGTGACAAGTTCTATGGGGTAAGGCAGCATCATACCTTTCCTTCCATTAAATCTTTTGTCTTCGGGAAGCCCATCAAGGCGGTATTGAGTAAGTTGCACCTCTACTTCCTCTGGGGTTGCCTTATTTTTCTTGACAACAGCCTTAGCCTCATCATACACACTACTGCGAGCGCCATGCTGTGAAATTGCAAGAACAGACTTCGATCGCCAAAGCAGTGCTTCCAGAACGCCCAAGGGATCCCTCCTAAACTGAGACTTTGAGTCAACCCAAATGGAATATAATGCATTTGGAAACAACCGATGGCCCAACATCTAACAAAAGGAATTAAAAAATAAGTAATATTCTCTGAAGAAACATGATCTTAAACACAAACAAACGCAAGGAAAGGCATCAGACTATTTGGTGTCAGTAAAGTTAGAGACCAGGAACAAAACCATAATGACATGCCACTAGATTCAAAACCTCAGAGTAAAACAAAGATCAAGGACGAGAGATAACAGAGTACCAACAGCCAATTTAGAGCTTATCCAATGGCAAGAAATCTATTAATCTTCCTATAGAAGGAAGATTAAAAATCATCAAAGCAGCACAAAGGAGTATTAAAATACTCAGAAACTTGAAGAAGCTAAATTCTGAAATCCCTCTCAAACCCTGAATTCCCTTAAAAGACTTGAGTAGCCATTAGTTATTCTAGGTCAGTGTGTCAAGTCTGATTATTTTGTTATGAACAGGCTCCAGTCAAGTTCAGCATGTGCTTTTCCAAATACAACTCCAATTACACCCCTATTAATCAGAAAATGAAGCTGATTTTTTTTTTCCTTAGCACCAGAGTAGAGGTATTGTTTACTCTTCCAATTCCTAGTTCTTGTTCTTGGGCTTTGAAGAAGATTCTGCAGAGTACATATCATTCAGAGTAATGCTAATTGCTAATTGGGACTCTGTCATGACAGGTAGATTCCCAAATGGCAAGTTGTATAAGCAGATGCAGGGAACTTTTGAGAAAGTGCCTTGGAGAAGGGTGATCTGTAACTCCAAAGCTAGCCCAAAGAGCGGCTTTGTTCTTTGGTCAGCTGCTCAAAACAGGCTTGCTACGGCAGATAGGATTAGTAGCAAGTCTTAACCTTAGAATCGAATTGGACAAAGTTGGGGTATCCAATGCTCCATTCATTGAGTTCTTTATCAATCTGGTATACCAGAATCTGTTGACCAGCTGTTCTTTAGTTGTGACTATGCAGCCTATATCTGGCAGAAGGTCCTGCACTGCATCAGGGTTCAGAGAAGTAGTTTGTGTTTTAAGTAGGAGCTTCTTCATGCTATTAATATGAACAGGAAAACTACTACTCAAGCTGTTGCCTACTATATGTGCTTTGCTGAAACAGTTTACCATGTATGGAGGATATCATTGTTAAGCATATTCTGCTCAATGTTGCTTGTAGGTGTGATGGAGAGATGAAAAAGTGGTTGTTATAGTTTCTTTGTTTAGAGTTTATGCTGTAATGTCTTGCTGTTAACAGCAAGTTTCTTGGTTTTTAATAAAATCTTTATTAATTGCCCAAAAAAAAAAAAAAAACAAAAAAAAACATGCCACACTATGACATCCATGAACATTCATGAGTTTGAATGTACAAAAGGATTAAACCAACCACATTAGACTATTTGAGTTGTTTTAATGTAAGACACCAGCATGGAACACCAAGGTGACTCCGCGACTGTTTATCAGATATGGGTGACTTTCATGAGAGTACTCTTATAGTAAAAGGAGTATATGTATGAGAGATGAAATGGTTTAAGTTATCCTAAGATTTGTATTGAAATAATGTTGACATGGAAAACCAAAAGATAACACTAGAAAAATAAAATTTAGGAAATAAAATATCATATGATGTGATCATACACACAGAAATAGAAATGGAAATCAGAAACTCAAATGCAAGAAAAAGGAGCAATTTAAAATCTCAACCCAAAAAAAAAAATCTTATGATATAATTCATCATATTTTATGAAAGTCTTAACAAATAATGAAATACTTTCCGTAGATCTCTAGCATAAACACAATTTTAAGGAGATACAAAGAAAATACTTCCACCATTGCACATTGATATTAATATTTTGAATTTTATCACAATTCATAAAACACACTTAGACCATAGTTTATGATCTATATATACTGAAAATATAGTTATGTGTGGTCTTGTTATATTCATCTCAATATATATTTTCGAAATATCAACTTGTAATAATTTTTAGGAATACACATTTACAATATTACTGCTCTAAGTTTTACATTGGCAAGCATGAAAAGGTAAAATATTAACACCATTATGAACTGCTCAATGTGTTTCATGTTTTTTTTTAAAAAAAGTATCAACTGCTCAATGTGTTTCAGTAGCAGATTAAATACTAAAATCTGCTCAGTCCAATACTTTTTATTGGTTTCCCTGCCCCATCCTTCTGTTTGTCTCACTTTTCCCTACCTCTTGATCAAACCACCAAAAATAACATGGAGGAAAAAAGTATATGGGAGGGGAAACTAAATACTGGTGATGCGAACTACATGCCATAGATAGTTGTTGCATCAGAGATCAGTAGCGTAAATTAGTAATCATGGAAGGAAAACAAAAGTAGGTTGGGAAGTTTGTCGCATATATAATTTTGTACTGGGGTGGGTTTATTTGTGGAAGGGAGCTTTTTGTTGAACAGGAAATGAAATTCCTCCCTCTCCACAGAAAAAGTAACCCCAGCCAATAATTATATATTTCTGGACATTTCAAAGGGAAACGTTCCTTTTATGAAAATAAGGCCAAAAAATAAAATTATGTGCAACATAGGAGGTCATTAAGAATTTCTTTCCTACATTTATCATTTAATAGTTTTTTTTTTTTTTCTCTTTCAAAAAAAAAAAAAAAAAAAAAATGAAGCCTCACGTGTTGTGACAAACAGTTACATGCTAAGCATCCATGGGAACCTGGCAAGGACATTGTCCACATATTTGCAGAGTTGTAACATAGCATAGAAAAATATTTACACTACCTTAGGAATTTTACCATTCAACCGCTGGTCAGGAAAAGGGAGATTCTTGACAATCACAATCCGCCACTTGCCAATATAATGGTCATCACCAATTTTCCTCCCCTGTGCTTCCTGTGTAGCAAGGGTGATCTCATCCCAAAAGGCAACATAACAGACCTGAAAGCAGTGCAAGCTAATAAGCACAAGGTAAAAATATAAAAAGAATTCATGTGTCCCTCAATCTATGAAAAGAACTGATTCAAACCTTTTGAAGGGATGCCTCCGACATCCCTATAGGTTGATAAAGATCATCTCCACCGCCAAATGCACAAGTAGAGACAACAACCTTGCAAGTTCGCAAATATTTTTCATCCTCAAGTGACATCTTAAATCCTCCATTTTCACTATAAAAACCACAATGCACCACAGGAGTTTCCGTCACCTGAACATGAAACAACAGTGAAACATCGGGTTATAAAATTAGCTGAAACTCACCTGTACAGCTATTCAACATTCAGGCACAAGGAAAATATACATGTAAACTGGAATTAGTGTAAGGACCTTGGCAAACACGCTAATTCGAGATCAAGATTTTTTTTTTTTTTTTAAATAATAATACACAATAGTGGAAGAGAAATTACTCGGGTGATTTGCTTCAGAGAGAATTTTAATATGTAGAAGGTAGCAACTGTAGTTTATATAATATGAGGAACTGTTTTTATAAGTTCTGCCATCACTATCTCTTATCGGCATTCTGATTTCCAATAATCTCCTCTCTCTCTCTCTCTCTTTCAAATTTTCATCATCACCCTAACCAAACAAACCCGAGATTCTAATGCAATGCTGACACAAAAGATTCAAATTTATATTTGTCAAATGCCAATTGTCTATTTTATTTTCATGTGAATTGTGGTGACTGGTTCTCTTGTCTTTCATTATTACTCTTAACCGAAACAGCTCCCATATGCTTACACAATGCTGACAGAAAAAGTTTAGATTTATTATTATCATAAGCCTAATGATCTATTTTATATTCATGTGAATAGAGTAACATCCAACTCATCACATCAAGAGCAAAAACTTTTAGTTGTAACAACCAACCTTGAAACTCTTCTCCCTTTGAACTAGTGATTGGTACCCTGTAAATAAGCTAGATCTTCCAGGTTTTCTTTTCTGAAAAGAGTATGTTGAATTTTCTCCGGCATAAGGGTCATTATCTTCTGAAATATATATCACATTCTTAACAGGACCTTTTGAACTTTTCAATTCTGCAGGGATATCAAGAATCTCAAGATCATCAGCTGACAGGATTGGCAAGCAACCTGATACAACCAACAAATTTACACTAAAAACCGATATACTAGCCGTCCATATAAAAGGTGTATGGAAAAGACAGAAACTTTTATAGCAACATCTTTATCTCCAAGGTTAACTATCTAATTTCCTTTTCATTCGTGATGTCCAGACCCAAGAGCCTGACTCATAAGATGTCCAACCGTATCAATGCAGCTTGAGGGATTAATTCATAATACTAAGAAGTAATACAGCATAATGATTGCAAATGTCTGATACTAAACAACACGTGATATAAGAGCACATAGTTAACTTATCTCTTTACAAACAAAAAAGGGGACAATTCACTCAGAAGAGAGTAACCCCACGCTTGTTAAGTTAATTGTGAATTAAACTCATTTAAAGACAGAAAGCGAATGCAATTACATAATTGAGCAGCACTTCCCACAGCAAAGCCACACTTCACAAACACTAGAATAAGCTACCATCTACCAATCTTCACTTCAAAATATCACATTTATATTATACTCCACAGAGTACGCAGATTTGCTCAAAAATTGCAAAAAAATTGCACATAGTGCTGATTCCTAAAACAGCAAAAGCCCCACATGTTAATCAGAGCCTGATCACTATTAGCTAATTTTACCTATGTTGGAAAGAAAATTAGTTATATTCTTGTACAGGTAGAACAAACATACTATCCACTAAATTACATAAACGACCTAACATAACAAAAAATAAAAATCTTAATATTACCAATTTACCTCAATGAACAAGTTCTGCTCTGAATTTCACAATTGATCCTGCATTTATCAAGGCTATAAAGATCTAAATAAACAAAACCTTACCCCTAACTAGTAAAACCCATTAATTGAGTTTTGAAAGGAACGGCATTACTTAAATTTCGTAACAAAATAACTCCAGAAATTTTACCTGAAACATGAATTGGGTTCTGTAGCCAACCAGGCCAAATTGGAGCAACAAAGAATGCAGATAAATTGAAAACAAAAAATTCAAAGGATCAAATTTCAGTAATAGATTGCTCTAGAAACTTAATTATAACTTATAAGACTAATTTCACGGCTGCATACTTATCATCAGAAGTTCTTACTTTCTCATTGTGATCTTAAAATCGACCTAATCAGTTTGTTTTCGTTCATGCAAAATCATTAACATAAAACGATAACCCGAATTTAATTAGCAAGCAATAACACAAAAGCAACAAACTAATAAAACATTGATTCAAAATCACAAATAAAATCCTACAATATCATTTAATAAGCAATCAAAATCAACTTACGCTCTTTGACACCACCGACATTATGATAAATAGGGTCAAGACGATTCAATTTCACATCCACATGTGAATCCAGCATCGTCCGAGTAAAATTGAATTTACTTTCATGGCTTAATTCATCATGACTGTGTCTCCGGCCGAGTCGAGAAGCTTCGAAAAGAAGCAACGCCATAGCAGGAAGGAAAACCAAGAGAGGCCACCATTTAGCGAGCTTCCTAACGATTCGACGAGTTAATTCGGCGTTGGATCGGAAGTTTGCCGATTTCTTCCGTTTCCGGCGGACTCGGGCTCTCATTCTTGCGGTGTATTAATCGGAATCTTCGTCGGAAACTGGGATTGAGATGCTGTTGTTGTTGATGATGTTATTGGTGTTGAACATGTTTTGCGTCGAATTTTAGCGTTGAATCTGAAGAAGAGTTTATGGAAATTGGATTTTTTGAACAAGGGATGTGAATTCGTGATGAGCGCCTAACTCTAGTTCAGCGCCGTTTAGTTTGTTAATCAAATCAACAGCACAATTGAACAAGCAAGGTTCCCCTTCAAAAACAAAAAAAAAAAAAAAATTGAACAAGCAAGGTTTATATTTTGTCAATCACATAAGGATTTTCGTAAAAATTTCATAAATTTAAATTATTTTTAATAAATTTTCCAAATTAATTTCCTATTTGCATCGGTTAAAAAACATATTTCCACCCTATTGTACACTTGGGATGTGAAAGTTTCATTATATATTTTTCAGCTATTTCAACGAATGTCACTCATCACTTTGAAAATTCACCAAATACCATCTGTTGGGAATATTTCAAGCATTATCTCTACCTTGAACCCCACTAAAGTACGGTTGCATCCAAAGGGAAAGAAGATAGAGCAAAAGAGTCGCCAACAAATTTTAAGAACTTGTAAACCGTTCACGAGGTGAAGGTTACACCCCTTAACTCAAATAGGTGTGGAACCATGAGTGGTAGTTCGGGGATGAAGGTACAAATCCAACCTAAAAGAGATTTGAACCTACCTTAATAATAGGTCTCTACTTTATTCTGATCGTATTCATGTGCGCTTTCTGACTAACATGCAATCAATAGGAGTAACCCTAAACCTGTTTAATCTATGTTGGTTAACATTAATGCACAAATAAATCTATTATTGGCGATCACTTGAATTATAATCTCATTAACCCTAAACAAGATTATTAATTATCTTATTAAGCGTGATTACAAGTACCAATTCCCTTTAAACATGCATAAAAGGCGTGATCAAGCAATAACAATAAATAAACATCAAGCAACATAATAATCATCATAATAAGTTATAATTAAAATAATAATTAAAATAATCATGTTAAAGCATAATAGCAAGATCCTAGGCATGATACTAACAAGATTAATAACAAACCCTAGCATGTCACTAAACATATAAAAATCAAAGCTTTAACCCTAACATGATACTAACATGAATATATATTAGGAAAAGAAAATAAGAAGCATCACAATTGTCATATTTGATATTAAAGTTACCCTAAACATGATACTAGGAAGATCAAAACACCCTAGCATGATACTAGGAATCATAATAACAACCTAGACATGATTTCTATATCATAATATCAATAAAAATCATTAAAGCACTTACTTGGATGCCTCATATCTCTTTCTAATAACAAAATACACACGTTAGTAACTTCAAGGAAAATAATAAAATCAAAGAATTAAATTAAATAATTGAAAGAGAGATTTGGGACCAAACCCTCAAAAATATCAAACTTTTCACATCTAGGTGTGTCTCGTGCTAATGTATGAGGAATTGTGTTTGTAAAAAGCTAGGCTTAATAAGAGAGAGAATCAAGAATTTCTTGATGAGAGTTGGTGATTGAAAAAGGGGAGATATGACCTCTATTTATAGAGAAAAAAGAAAGTCAAAAAATAAAGAAAAGAATCTGAATTCGAATCAAAATAGAACTCGATAGACAACAGTTTTTTTGCGGATTTTGTTTTTATCATATCTTTTGATCTAGAAGTCTAAATAAGACATATAATATGTCGTTGGAAAGCTCTTGAAATCTAATTTCGAAACCAATTATAATCAGATTAAAATATTTTGTAGGAAAAAAGATATGGCTGAAATAGTAGGACGGTGTCAGTTTTAGATAAAGTTTCATATGTCATTCATATCTTTTTCGTTATAGCTTGGATTTAATATTATAATATATCATTGGAAAGATAATTTCAAGATCTATCCAACCATATAAAATTTGGATAAAGATTATGAGGCACGAAAATAAAATCTGACTGTCTTTGAACATCTTTAAATTCGAATAGAATTAGGATTTAAGAAAAAGGAATGTTTTAAAAAATGAAAGTTTTTATTTAATTAAAATTGTTTAATCTTATCTTTTCAAAAAGGCTAATTAAGATCTTATAGAAACTTATAGAAGCTTATAATTAATCCTAATTAGTTTAGGAATAGGATTAAACCTTTGGACCCTCCCCATGATCATTGGGTCGTAGGTAAAATCCTGTTTGGGCCTAGTTTAGTATATATTTTGGCCATAACTTCCTCATTATTCATCAGAATTGGGCTTATAATATATCGTTGGAAAGGTCTTTTCAGGCCCCATCCAACTACACCATTATTAGACCCATATCATGGACCAAACTAAACTGGAATGCACGTTTTTCATAAATAAGGTAAGAAAAGAAATATTTTCAAAAACAGAAATAAGAGATATTTTAATAAAAACATCCTCATCACTAGACTTTTCACACTTTCTCTTTGTTCGATAATCAAATGACATGAAATGTATTCATCACTGGATTTGGTTTTGGGGAGACACAAATAGGTATCTACATAAGCCCCCACTTTGACTGAGTTTGGAGAAACGCAAGTTTCGAAAACAAAAGTCAAAGTATCGATAGGGACGGAGAATGATTCAGAACGTTCTGCGATCTTAAATCATTCTTGTAACGCCGATACCTGCAAACTAGCGTTAGTTAAAACAGATAAGAGAGTTAAGAAACGCGTATCTTGCACCGTCGAGCACACGTCTCTAGAGGTTACCGATTTGTTGTGAAGATCTTCCGCAAGCTAGAGAATACCGCCTGAAGACTTCTACACCTGTAGCTGCCTCCAATTTACGCTGTGATAGTCTTCGAAAAGATCACTGCTTGTTGATCCTTAATGCTGCTATGCTAGTATGTCGTCGCTTTGCTGCTTGTGAACCAGTATGTCGGTGCTTTTACTGTGATGACAATCCTCTTTTCTTTGGGAATAGTTGCCAGCACAACTCTTGTACGATGTATGACAATCCGATTTAGGGAAAGTTGGCAATGCTTCATAACAATCCATCCTTGGAAATGTTGCCACGATGAAGCTACAATCCGTATTTTGGAAAATTTGCCAAAATCCATTTTTGGGAAAAGTTGTCAATGTTTCGTAACAATCCGTCATAAGAATTTTGCTACGATCGACAATCCACATCTTGGAATATAACTCTTGAAAGCAATCCACCTTGAAAATTTGCCAACGCTATGCGACAATCCTTTTAGGAAAATATTGCCACAAATGACAATCCGCGTCTTGGAACATTTGCAAAAAAGAGTCGACCGACAATCCCCTTCGGGAAAATTTGCCACTTACTGAAATGAATGACAATCCACGTTGAGGAACCTTTGCCGAAACTTATGATGAATAGAGACCTACGACAATCCTTTGTGAAATTTTGCTATAGGGAATTGGGTATATGACAATCCAATCTCGGAAAACTTGCCAGAGATGACAATCCGAAATTGCCAAACGAAGAAGGAGCACGACAATCCATGCTTGGAAACTTTGCCAGAGATGACAATCCAATCTTGGAAAAATTGTCGTTAAAGAAGATGCACGACAATCCATATTTGGAAATATTGTCAGTTGGGGATGACAATCCAATTTTTGGAAAAATTTTCATTTAAGAAGAATGCGCGACAATCCATATTTGGAAATATTGTCGTTTAAGAAGAATGCGCGACAATCCATATTTGGAAATATTGTCTTTTAAGAAGAATGCACGACAATCCGTATTTGGAAATATTTTCGTTTAAGAAGAATGCGCGACAATCCATATTTGGAAATATTGTCGTTTAAGTGCTTGCTTTTAAACCGATACGTTAGTGCTTGTAATGAGCCAATGCTTAGGCGCTTAAGCTAAGTGAGATAATTTTTTGTCAGATCAATCACTTACTACGATTGTAATTGAGCCGACTACTAATCATGTCAAATTGCTTATAGGGGCTAACTAGCGTACCAAGGAACCCGAAATTGCTGTATGAGGTCGAAATAACCATTCTGAGAGGCTTCGAGCTCTGTCGCTGCTGAAATATCTCTAGCGTCAAGAATTGGCTCTATCGCCAGACGCTGGGATCTAGAGTCAGGCGCTGAACTCTGTTGCCAGACGCCAGATGTTGTTGCCAGACGACAGCCGTCGTCTGGTGCTGGAGTCGGGTCTTCCCGATTCTGCTCTTGCTGCCGCTGGGATGCACCTGTATTTATCTTTGACTATAGGACTTTTCTAATCTCTTTATTTATTTTAGGGTTTTCCTAAGGTTTAATGTCGCTTGAATCATTGACTTGACACGACTTAGGGTATAAACTTGACTCGATGTGATTGACTCGAGGTCGACTCGACTCGATGTGACTTACGACATGACACATGTGCACATGAATCGTGTGTGCATTGTATTGTGATCGTGGGACTCAAAAATGCAAAAAATAAAAAAATTTCCGTCATTTTTGTGGAGGGTATCGACTTTTTCCCGAAAAAGAAACACACGAAAAATAATCAAAGCGAAGTTTTTGAAGGTGCATGCTGAATGAGCTTAGTCAAATGTTGTTTGATACTATCTCTCAAGGTGCAAGGATTAATTCATCCTAGGCTATCTCAATTGTTGACTCAGTGATGAAAGTATTTGGGTAACTTAGGCACGGAGGCTAATCATTTCATACTTTGTGATGCAATGATGAGTGATGAGTGATATGACAAGGCATGCTTCAGCGTTGTGTTAAGATTTCATGACAAAGGGTTCCTAAGGGAAGTATATTTGGTCATGTATCTGTACGGTGTGTGAAAGTGACACTAAGGTTAGGCCGCAAGAGCTAAGTGTGTGGAAAGATATTATTTTTAGAAGAGTCAAATAATGGTGACTCCTAGGGTGGGTAAGCTAATGATGTAAGGATCAAACCCCAAGTCTAGCTCTAAGTAGATAGGGATGAGCATAGGAGATCCCTTGATATGATCATGGTGTGAGTGTGTGAATGTGAATATGAATGAATTTTTATTACGGTCGCACCTTGATGTGAGGTTGCCTACGTATCCGTTAGGAATCAGGCCGAACGTAGCTCTAGCCGAACCTCGCACAAGTGTGTGTATACCTCAAAAAGGTCTTTTTAAGGGTTGTAACGTGATTAGGCTAAAGGTTATAGAAGAAAGGGATAAAGGCTCAAGACCCTAGATAAGCCCCCAAGGTGAGTAACTTTGCTATTGAATATTTGTATTTTTATACTTGAGGCTTTCTACTCTTTTTCAGCTCTTTTTTTTTTACTTTTGCATTTTTTTAATTTTGAACCTTTTTGATAAGTGTGGGCAATCCCAATCAAGCGGTCTATCACTCACTTGGCATTCATGTTTCTCAGTCACGGTACCGAGCACTCGATAAGAGACGCAATCTGAGACGTATTCATATCAAATACATGTTCATGTCAAAGACATTGGAACACTTGCCCT